CTATTGGCTGTTGTCAGATTTGTATGGGATCATATAGGGGTTATGTAGGGGTCATAACTGGCTCTATAGGCAAAATAAGAAATGTAAATCATAAATGTTTGTGTGAGCTAATCTGGTCTGTCTCTGACTTATTATTTATCTGAGCTCCCAGGTGAAGTTTGGACTGCTCTGGGATGGATAGTGCAATGAAGGAGCTTGAGTTCTGAAAGCGTGTTGGGAAATTCCTATTGTGTCTTTATGATGGACAGGACCACATGGGTTTGAGGTTCTGGGAAGCTGATCACATGGAGTGGAGAATGAGAGGTTTTTATACCCTCTCTTGGGCTTTGAACTTGAGCTTCTTGTGTAAGAATATGTATTCTATTGGCTGCTGTTAGACTCCCATGGGGCTATGCAGGAGTCATAGCTCAGGTTGTTTGAGATAAGTTTGATTGAACCTTGCTGGGTGATACAATGTCCCCAGGTAATTTAGCAATGCAGTGAGCTCTGCTGATAGCTAATCCTATAATGTCCTAGAGGACCATGTCTTAATCCCATCACACTAGAGCTGAAAGTCCAATTGCCTTGTAGATTGGCTGGCCCAGTCCTGCTCATTGAGCACCAAATATCTGCTGAGGGCAGGGAGCTGCTTTTTGTCTTTAAAAACATGTTTCTCCTTTTCTCATCCATGCCTTTTTTTTAAAAAAAAATATTTCCTAGAATATTTCATTCTTCTAGGAGAGGGGTTGGTGCTAACTTTCTATAGCCGCCAGAATTATTTATTTAAGGAACCATTGATCTTAGTTAGTTCACTTTATTGTCATTGTACATGGTACAATGAAATTAAATGCCCTCTTCAGTGTACATTGTAACTATTAAAATAAAAACACATCCTTTACATTCTACATACCGTATAAGACACACTGGAGTATAAGATGCACCAAAGTTTTGAAGAAGCAAATTTTAAAAAAATTGCACTCTGCAAACCTCCCCAAAATGATCTGTTTTTAATGAAAATGGGCCATTCTCCCCCCCCCCCAGGACATAATTAGCCCTTAGGCGACTTGTAGAGTGTTTGGGGGGGGGGGGGTGAGCAAAAATGGCCCATTTGTCATGAACACAGGCCTGTTTTTGTAAAAAAAAAAAATGGCTTTAGGAAGCTTATAGAGTGCTCCTGGGGGCTGGGGGGGAGCCAAGGTGGCGCAGTGGTTAAATGCAGCACTGCAGGCTACTGCTAGATCAGCAGTTCAGCGGTTCAAATCCCACCGGCTCAGGGTTGACT